ACATCAGCAACAACGACATTCCATTCAATAAAATCAAAAACTGAAACAGATCAAAGCTGTGTTTTTGTTTTGTGTCACTTGTTTTTGAGGTAACACAGATGGAACATACAAGTATAAACGTGACCAAATAACCAACAATTTGTAGTGATACTGTATATATCACTGAGGCTGAGAAATTAACACAACGCCAAAGACAAATGCAATAGGTGCTGCTTTAGCTTTCTGTATGTATATATCTTCTAATACTTTATAACGCTGTGTACATTTAAATCACAGGTAATTCCTATTGTGCTGGGTTGCTCTGAAGTTGGACACATTTTAGTTTCTGCAGAAGAAGTTCCTATAATCAAACGGTTCCCAGTTCCTGTAGTGTGAAGATGCCAAAAAAAAAAAAAAAACTTAAGTAGTTTACACCAGTAACTCTATGAATAAAGAAAACTTAAAATAATTAAAACTGATTTGATTTACAAAAGCAGTCACTGAAAACGCACACACACAGTTTTTTAGATTTAGTTATACAAAGCAGTATATTGTAACAATATTAAATTGCACAACAGGACTTCTATAGACAGCATCAGCATTTTCCTACTTATGCTCCATTTGAGACCAGCAAGATTTTAGGGCCTGCTTTTCCCCAGGACCCCCTTTACTGCAGTGCAAATGCACAAAACCCTTCAAGAATGGACACAGGCCAGGAATCTGCAGCAGAAAAGTTGGGGAGGGAAAAGTCTGACACCATGTCTCCTTTTTATCTTGCTGTTTCGTTTTAAAGTGTTGGGCTGTTGCATTTAAACTAATTTGGCAAAGCAGTGAGTTTGCCCATAGGGGTTAATTGCTTGTTTTGGCCTGTGGCTGGTGTTCATATATACTGGAGTGTTTCCTGTCCATTAATGTGTCAATTATTTGTTTTTGTTTAGCGTGTGTCAATATCCTCACTGGCTTGTTAATGGGACATAATACTTAGTCAGTGGCTTTTAGTTGGATTCTACATCTTCCTATGTGCTTGCCGGGGGAAGCGCTGTGGCTTTTGGACGCACGCTTGTTTGAGGTGAGACACTCTGTGGATTTAGGCCTTGTATCATAATGTAACCCTCGTTATTTCCCTGAGCGATGCAGATCAATAACTGCTGTTTATGCATGCAGCCCACATATACGCCACTACATTTCAGGGAAAGTAAGGTTGCTATTATGGCTGTTTAAGGTCTGGCACGGTTTCAGTGTCCAAAGAAGAAGCACTGCAAATAAAAGACAAACGTCCTAGTGAAAAGGTCTTAGTGGACAAGAAACCATTATGATGTTTCTTCATTGTGCAAAAGAGATCTTATCAAATAATGGTTCAAATCTAACTATTTATTATTCGTAAAGGAGAATCATTATCAGATGCATCACTAGCAGATGAATGCATGGGACAACATTAGGGCTGTTTATCAGAAATACCATTTAATTCTCATTACTCCTTTCACAAGTAATATTAATGATTATTTCCTGATTTATTACTTGCTATATCACATTTGTGTCAAACTCTACAAATATGAGTTTTTCCACTCAACTTTCAAGAATTTATTAATGTTATGATCTGATAATGATTAGAGTCTCCAACTCTGTCTTTCTGCATTTGCACTTGCAATATCACTGTTATGAATCAGAGAAAGATCTTTTCCAGATACATCAGTTTGTATGATGAACACCCACTTTACTTGAACATTCTGACAAAGACTTTTGTTAAAGATGGTACTCTCTTTGTACTCATGAACGGGAGAAAAAAGAAGCTAGGTCTAGAAATGCTTTTCCAATTCATTAGTCATTGTTAAAATTTTACAAGCCATGAACCAAACCATCCAGCTACAAGGATATTCATGAAACTACAAACTTAAATATATTAATGTCAGACAAAGACAAAAAATTTTGAGGAAATGAACTACAATCCCACAAAGCATTATCTGTAAAACAATCAAATTAGGGATGACAGAAAAATCTAACCTTTTTCAATTCAATTGTTTGTTTTATTAGGTGTATTGTACATATAAAAGTTTAATTATTTTAAGAGTGGTTGATTTGATTAATATGCAGTTTTGATGGCAATGGGTGCAGCTATAAAGCTTAATTTTTGGTTTGTGGAACCTCTATGCTTTTTAAATACCATTTAAAGAGACCCTATTATGGGGTTTTGATTAACTATCCATTTAGTGTGTAACAGCTCTAAGTGAAGTGAAATATCAAGCTAAGGCTTAAATCTGAAAGTGCACCATGTTTAAAACTATTGATTAATCTATATAAGAATCAACTCATATGGTTGAATGAATCGCCGCTGTAATGGGTCTTTAGTCGTGTCGGTGTGATGTCGATACAGAACTCAAGCCCCACCCATTTGTTGCGCTCAGAGCTCCCCACACAACTGAATACACAACTCGTGCAGCTTTGTTTACAAATTTAAATGCGTTTGTGAGCTCGCAATCCACTGCTGTTTGTTGTTGCTATGGCCACCGTCAGCTGTTCCTGGGCTCACACATACACTCTGCACTCTAATTACTTCAAAATTGTTGATAAGCTGTAGCAGGCGATTCTCTCTGTCTCACGCTCAACGCAGTTGACCAATCGCAACAGACTGGATCATCGGACCAATCAGGGCAGATTAGCATTGCGCTAAAGAGGGGTTTGAGAAAAAAAATAAATAGTTGAACGAATCATATGGGAGTCGTTGGGATAATTAGGTGAAAATAAATGCATATTATAAGACAATGAAAGTGTTTTTTGACCTTGCATGCATATCAGACTGTTGTTGGAGACCCCAAAACCAAAATATGACCATTTTTAAAGCATAATAGGGGCTCAACCCTATTATGCATTATGCACCCAATAGTTTCACATTTTGAAGGTTTCGTAAACACTTCGGTGGTACAATGGGAACTGTCTTGGTCAGATTAGTCCAAACTCCAATCAAACAGCAATTAAAAACAGGCCAAAACAAGTACTGAAAAGACCCTATCCTCACAAGTCTCTATCCAGCCCAGTGGTATCAATATCTAATATTTTAAATCATGCATTTTCCATCTTCCAAGCTATAGTTTTCTTCAATGTTGATGTCATGACAGTTACAAATGTTAATTTAGGAACGACTGGATTGTTGGATTTCAAATTAGCATAGATTGAAGCAAAGCTATTGTTGTATTTATTTTATAAAAGAATTTAATTCTATGAATAATTATAGTAATTGTATAATTATAACCATAATGTGTTACTCCCCTACACTAGCCGCATTTCCATACTAACATAAAGCAATTAAAAACTGGTTCAAATATAATTATTTATAATTTATAACAGAGAATCATTATCAGATGTTTACAAAATATCAAAGATACATCACTGTTTTGTTTGCGACATTACAGTTTATTCAGCAAATGTGTTTCCATCTCCCGTTATTTCACATGAACTATTTCCAAAAGCACCTGCAGTGTAAAAACATTTCAGTGAATAAATGAATTTTTATTTGAATTTGGCATTCCTATCACTCTTTTCTCATGCGATCCTTTAAAAATGCACATTAACACAAGGTGATGGAAACCCAGCTATGCTGTTCAGGTATGCCCGCTTGCTCAAATTTGTTCAAAGATATCTCAAAAGAGCAAATGAAAGGTAAGTAGAGGAGAAAGAGACCTAGAGAAAAGGAAATAACCCCATGAGTGTATTATGCGTAGGGTTGTGACACACTGTGGCTTTCTGGGCTTGTGTGGCAGAATAGAGAGCGGGGGCGGAAGACTTGGCGGTTTTACAGAGGAAAGGCCTCACTGTGTGCACATTGTGCAGCCATGTGTGGTATCACCACAGTTCACATCTTACCAGGCCCGGCGCCAGGAAGTCAAAACTGAGGGGGCACTTTAAATCCATAGGGGGGCACTAGACCTGGTGACTGATTTTGGTCTCTTGTTTCTTTCATTTAGGCTATTTATTCGCATTTATTATTACTTTGCATTACTGCCTAAGTTACTGACCTAAGGCAGTAATATAGGCTACGTTTTAATAGTAATAACAATACGCAGTTTCGCTATTACGAATTTTATTAACGATGGTAATGCATACCGCTTATTAATGCAGACGGATGATGGCTTCCCACCAAACACTAGACGTTGTGCGGACGTGCAGATCACGTATATTTTGCGTCGGTCCGTCCGTGACCATATCTGCACGTCAGTTCGACGTGCAAATCTGGTTGACATATTGACGTCGGACTATGACCACTTTTGGACGTGAATTTAACGTTCAAATCTGACCTATTTTGGACGTATAGCACAAGGTCTAGCGCAGAATACATTTTGTTGAGGAAAAAAAAATCTAATATATATATATATATATATATATATATATATATATATATATATATATATATATATATATATATATATACATTTCTATTTGTTTTGAGTGTTTATTAAATATTCATTTTTGGCTGAACTGTCCATTTAATGCATGTTTCTGGTCTTATTGTGAATTGGACTGTTGTTCGTTAAATAAATATGTTTCAATTTAATGTGCACTGTCTGTTTATTTGTCCTATGGGTGTTTGTCATTTAAAAAAATCACAAACACATACCCAGCAAACAATCGAGTTGGCGGACCGTCTGCGTTTTTTGGTCGGCACAAATTCAGCGGCTTGATATGGGCGGACCGCCGTCGGCTTACCAGCGGCAAGCCGCCCATTCTAAAAGTTATGTCGGCCCACCGGCGTTTTTTTGGGTGGCATGCCACCAGTTACCGTGGGTGGACCGCCGTCTGGACACCAGTGGCTAACCGATGGCCCACCCGGTGATGTTTTTAATGATGTTGGCTGTTCTGTACCTGATATAAGTACTTTTGTTTAACACTTTTTACATTTTAAACAAATGAGGCATAAATAAAAATATAGTTATTAATAAAAGCAAAGTTTAGTAAATAAAACTACAAGAGGTTTTAAATATAACAGGTTATTATTAAAACAAAACAAAATTAAGTTTAAAAATCAAGATTTAATATTAAATGTCATTATTTAATATGTTTATGAATTGTTTAAATGTTTATGTAAATGCTGCGTGACTTTAAAGTGTCCATTACCGAGCCCCATTCAAGCACTGCAGCAGAGAGCGTTGTCATGGAAACGGAGCAACGACACGACACCTGACCGTCAACAGCACTTCTCTCATGCGGCAGTTTTCACTAATTTCAGGTAAGTTTAGTCGCTAAAATCACGCAAATGTTACATATAACTGTTTCTGACACTTTTCTTACTGGTAATTGACATATTTCTGTTGAACATGTTTTTTATAGAGACTGTTGTGTCTTTGGAAAAAGTCCGTTAGAGTTTTAGCAGAGGTAACGTTAGCATTAGGCTAGCTATTGTTTATAAAAGTGTTGGCTTTTAATTACATTTTATGTGTAGATGAGAGGTTTGACAATGTTTTATTGGAGGTAGTCTACTTTATTAAGCCTAAAATAAGCACTGTACTGTCGACAAGAGCGAATTAAAATGTTAAAGTTAGTACATATGTGTTACTTTGATATTTCACAGTAATGTAAACTAATATTAATTTTAAAAAGTGCTCTGTGGTTTCAGGATTGACAAAATTACCCCTACAACAGAAGAAAAGAGCCAAGATGAAGGGAGCTAATCACAGAGCTGGAGGAAACACAGGTAAGACTATAATTAACTGTTAAATAGATTTATGTGCATTTTTATAAGAAATCCCTACATTATCATGCATCTGATACATGTCTTGATTGCAGTTATTTTAGTTTTGACATCCAAACATAAGTGAGTGGTTTTAAACAATTTTTTACATTGCTTTTCTCAAAGCTGAATTTACAGCGTCAGTGCTCCAGTCCAAAATGTAATATTGTATTCATAATTTGCTGCTGATCAAGCAAGATTTATTATTTTTATCATGTTTTGTTATTTCAGGATTCATTGTTGAATAGAAAGTTTAAATTGAAAAGTATTTGAATCAGAAATCTTAACTCTCTTCTGATCAGTTTTATGCACCCTTGTTTAATACAAGTATCCATTTCTTAAAATGTGTTAGTAATATATATATTTTTTATTACTTCTTTCTAGATTTTGGATCGTCCTCTACTCACTCTACCACTTTGTTTTTCCTTGCCAGACTTCATTCAAGGTAAGTAATATTATAGTTTCACTTAAAAGTGTTCCCAATGATTACTTTTATTAATGTTAATATTAATATCAACTGCATCAAACAAATTAGCCTATTAGAATGATTTCTGAAGGATCATCTGACACTAAAGTAATGATGCTAACAAATCAGCTTTGACCTCACATTAATAAAATATATGGTCACATTTATTTTGATGGTCTGTTTGTTGAATTTAAGCTGCATTGCATCTACATGCCATCTAATTCTCATTAGATTATAAGTAGACTGTTTGGGTTGCGGTTAGGGTTGGTGTAAGTTGACATGTACTTGGTAAATTAAGGGTTAGGGTCAGTTAATGTCTGTTGAAGGAGCAGAATCAACAGATATTAAGCAGACAGTCTATTAATACTCAAATAGACCATTTACAATGTATTGAAATTAAAAATCATTATTTTAAACTGTAAAAATATTTCAGTTTTACTTTTAAACTGTAAATTAATGTTATCGATCAAATCAATGCAGTCTTGATGTCCAATAAAAAGACAATAAAAAATACAAACATTAATGTCCATAATGACCTAGTTACTGATGATGGACAAAAATAATGACTGATGATTCTGTTATTTCAGGATAAGAAAGAAGCCTGCTACAAGAGAGACAGCGGAAGGGAGCCTCAAAGACATTTTTATTAGGATCTGCTAATCATGAGGGGGCAGACAAAAGAACCTGCATTTTCCTTCAGCTTAATATCAGGGGTCGCCACAGCGTAAGGAACTGGATATTACTTTGGCATATGTTTTACATAGCCTTCCAGCTGCAACCCAGCACTGTGAAACACCCATACACTCTCGTATTGACAGACACTTCTACACTATGTTCAAATTCACCTATAGCACAAGTGTTTGGACTGTGGTGGAAACCCACACCAAAACAGGGAGAACATGCAAACTCCACACAGAAATGCCAGCGGACCCAGCCGGGACTCATACCAGCAACCTTTTTGCTGTGAGGTGACAGTCTGAGCCACTGTGCTGCCCCAGTGTAGTTATTAATAACCTCCAGATGTTTTACAGTTTGATTTTGTAATAATAATGCACGTTTAGATTTATTGTAATATGTTAATATTTATTCGCAATGTAATTTATTCTTATGTTATTTATAATAACGTTAAATGTCATAAGAATGTTATAATTTAATATAATATTATAATAAATAATTATAATAATGTTAAAATATAAACAATACAATTTTTTTTAATAGTTTATTTTTATAATGAGAAGTCTCAAAATTTGTCTTTATTATAGAAAACTCATTGTTGAATGGCTACCTCTTTACAATAAGGTTGTATGTATTCGTTAATGTATTTACTAACATAATAAACAATACATTTATTACAGTATTTATTCATCTTTGCTAATGTTGGTAAATGGTAAAAAGTTGTTAATTGTTTATTCATGTTAACTCGCAATGTATTAACTAATGTTAACAAGCATGACTGATTTTATTAATGCTTTAGTAAATGCTGTACATAAAATATGCTGTACAGGTATTGTTCATATTAGTTCATATTTAAACCATTAACATTACTTATAAAACTACTGTAAAATGTAACTGTTGTATGTATGTTGTTATATTATATTTGTATGTATTTTATATGTATTTTATATTTATTTTGTTATATTTGTTAACGTATGTGTTTTTGAAACATTTCATTAAGTGTTTAATGTATGTTCGTTATGCAGTATTATAAATAAATGTTATAATGATTAAGTATTTTGTACTTGATTTCATTATTGGACATATTTATATTGGATACAATTGTAAAGGCTAATATAATATTTAAAAATGACATGTGGACTGACCGCGGGCCGCCAGCAGACACTTATTTAAAACCAGCGGTCCGATGGCGGACCACCGTCGGAAAAGCGGCGGGAGCCGATGGTGGGCCGCTGGAATAACGATGAGCAAATTGACGGTGGACCGCGGGCGGCGCCCGCCAGAGGACCGCCGACTTTGCCGCCGGCGGGCCGCCAGTGGCCCGCTGGTCTTATGTTAGCTGGGATAATACAAATAAATAAAAGTAAATAGACAAAAAAGACGTCAAAAATACTGTAAAAGGACGTCGAAAAGACGTCGAAAAGACGTCGAAAAAAGACGTTGAAAAGACGTCAATAAAAGACGTCATAAAAACTTTCATTCTGGCTCTTCAGAGGAGGTAATTTCAACGTCTGACAGAGACGTAGAAAAGACGTCTTTTGGACGTAACTTTGCTTGGTGGGTTCAGTGCCAAACGAGTGCTTTAAATCATATGTTATTCTCCTTATTTCTGTTTTATTTCAAATAACAGCCCTATGAATGTTTAAAGTTTTAGGTAAAGACGTCAAATTATGCCCACACATGCAAGCTGACCCACGATCAGACAATTCATTTAACCGGTAAATAAATATAGTGAAATCAGCTTAACCGAGTCATCACGCTTCACAACCAACATCAGTGTTGGGGAAAAGCTAAATGTGACAATCTAATGTCATTCAAAACAATTACTTAGTTACATTTTAAGGCATTAGTGTAGCCAGAAAAATACCTAAAAAAGATACAAAAATTCACAGTTATTACCGTGAAAATTGGTTAAATTTTTATATGCTATATAACTTTTTTTTCATCATTTTAAATGTAAAAACAAAGATTTGTCTAAGGCTATTATAAATGTGCTTTTTTCGTGATATTGTAAACCATCATAAACCATATGTACCATAGTTTCTAGGCCTACCCGTCATTTTATTTATTAATTATTTTATTTATTAGGCCTTTTTTAATAGCTTGTTTTCAGGTTATTTTCATTTTAGGGCCATGAGCTAAGTCAAAACAAACTCGATATGTTGTATTTTAGCTCTTAAAACAGATCTACAATATATTTTATGTTGTTTAATTTTGCATGAGCAAATAGCAGTATAGCCTAAGTTACATATTTTTAAAAGATTATCATTCTGCCTACCTGCAGCGCACGAGATTTCTCGGTTGATCCGCGGTAAATCCACTTAAGCACTATACCTATTCCATTTATAACACTGCAAACTTGACTTCGCAGGCCGATCATCTTTAAACGCAAAATGCATTTATTATGTGTTATACCTTGACTGCAGTTGCATAATGGGATGTTTCTCTACGCAACTGTAAAAGTGCACCTTTCAGCAAAATGAAAGCAAACATTCAAAGGGTTCTGCGTTTTGTCAATTTTAGCTTAATTGTAATAATATTAATAATAATATTAATAAATAAATTATTATTTATAGTGTAGCCTACTGTGGGACTGTGCAGTAAACTATTTATTTTTATTAAAACATTTTTATTAGGCTACATCTTCCCGAATAACTAATAAATGACTGGCAGTTGCGTCTCTGCTAAAATTAATTTAACAGCAAATTTCTTATGTGTTTTTTCCTTTTAGAGCTCAAGAGAGTTGTGTTTAAATAATTAGTTAACCAAAACATGTAATGAATTAAGCTGCTCCTATCATGTCACCCATTTTCTCCCTTGTGAGTTGAGTGCGCCTCCATCGCAAGGCTATTTACGGGCGCACCTGACCTGACGCGGGGACCGGATCTCTGGACTATAGGACTAGCTTTAACCTCACCATTTTCATAATTTAATTGCTATGTCATATATTTTAAAATATTTAAATGTGTGTTCTGAAGGTTGGAAGGACGGGAGTGTTAATAATTAATGACAGAAAGAATTTTCAGTTTGAGTGAACAATCCTTTATAAAAACTGGGGGGGCACAAACTCTGTCTGAGGGGGCAATGCCACCCTTTGCCCCCCCATAGCGCCGGGCCTGCATCTTACCCATGTATAGTCTCCAAAATTTCCCCAATGGGATTTCCAATTCTCATTGGCCTTGTTCCGTTTTTATCCAAATGCTTAAGCATGGAAAATCACTGACCTAGCTTTGGGGAATCGAAAGGTTTAGAGATGTATGAGCTGTGCATAACCTGCTTACCCAGCAAACGCACCGATAGTCAAACCCACTGTATGAAATCAGATGAATTTTTAAACTCATTGATTTTGAATGTATTAATCAGTATTCCGTTCCACTTTGAAATGATGCTTTGACTCCTGGCAAAGAAATGACATTTGAGTAAATCTCCTTTGAATCTCACTGGCGTAAATGGTTAATATTTCTCCTTTGTAGCAAGGAAGGCATGTGATAATCCTACAGTTGAATGGGGTAACCCTATCAAAAGCTGGACTTTTCTGTGACAAATTGCTTATGTTAATCTTTACATGAGCATACCTCTTATCGATGTGCTGAGGTCCCACATTTATTTTGCCTTGGGCGACTGTCTCCTCCATGTGAAGGATCTCACATTTTAATCCACAGATCACAATGAATGGGGCGAGTATCTCATTTCTCATTGTGCGCTCCTTCCATTTAGGCTCCATGCTTAAGGAAAGACGAGCGAATGAGGATTGGAGCTGAATAGGACCGCGGGGTGAGGCGCTCGGAGCCAGGGCTGCTAAGTCATCAGGTGGAGGGTCATCTCGGCCCTTTGTGTGATTTAACGTTGGGTAAATGTCACCGGCGAACATCCCAGATCTGGCCATTCACTCTCAGCCTTTCACTCACTCTATAGGCAGTTTTCATAATAGTGTTACAGGGCTTTGTGACATTAAATGTTTTCGGTTTAAATGTCTGATCGACCGTACATTCTAAAGCATTTAATTGGGCCTGTCAATTGGTTAAATGTAAAATGAAAATATTTAAATGGTGTGCTCATTGAATAATCAAATAAATCACTAATTAATTTTTAACATCAGTTGTTGGAGTAGAGATCAAGGTCCCAAAATGCTATTTGAAACATCCATGAATGACAAAATATAGGAAACTGTTAATTAATGGGAATTTTTTACAGCGCAGTCATCTAAAGAGTGTAACAGTCCTGATTTGGAAGTAAAGACTGCAAATGATATCTGATAAGCCATTAGAACTATAGTGAGCTTTTAATAGTAAGGCTGTTAGTCACAGATATTTCCCAAAGAATCATTGACCGAAACGTTTTAAAAGTAAATTTTAATAAGCTAAATCTTTTAACGGGCAAGGCAGTGGCACAGAAGGTAGTGCTGTCGCCTCACAGCAAAAAGGTCACTGGGTCGCTGGCTCGAACCTTGGCTCAGTTGGCATTTCTGTGTGGAGTTTGCATGTTCTCCCTGCCTTTGCGTGGGTATCCTCCGGATGCTCCGGTTTCCCCCACAGTCCAAAGACATGCGGTACAGGTGAATTGGGTAGGCTAAATTGTCCCTAGTGTGTGAATGTGTGTGTGGATGTTTCCCAGAGATGGGTTGCAGCTTGAAGGGCATCCGCTGCGTAAAAATTTGCTGGATAAGTTGGCGGTTCATTTCGCAGTGGCGACCCCGGATTAATAAAGGGACTAAGCTGACAAGAAAATGAATGAATGAATAAATCTTTTAACGTCATCAAGAACCCTTTAAAACAAAATTTCCATGGAAATTTAAGGTGGAATTGTCAATGGCAACTAAGATTTTTTTTATAGTGGACTAACTTTGACAATTCCAATTGGTTTGTAAACTGAAACATTGTTTAATAAATGTATTTGACGTTACATATTTACTGAAAATAAATTGACGCATTTTGGATATAGCAAAATGCCTTTAAATAGTTCTTGAAGGAACACATTCAACACTGTGAAGGTACAGTGTCTTGTCACTGTAGTGGTACCTTCATGGATCAGATTTGTACCTTTGATGAATGTTTTTTATTTGTAGATTTGATGAACGTACAATATTGTATCTGGAGGTTTTAAAACCAAAGGTACATTTTGGTTTCCCATGGTATAAATTCTGTCCTTAAAAGGTACAAACTGCAATAGTACAGATTTATTTCTTTGTCTTAAGGTACAATTCTGTTCCATAAAAAGGTAGAGAGTGTAGAAAACCTTTTTGCATTTGTGTATACACATCTATGACTGCAGGTGCAGGGTTTAAGTACACTAAATTAGTCGAGAGGTTCTACATACATCTTCACAGAGGAGTCAGCCATTTTCACTATAACGCCAAGTTTTGATTTATTTATTAAACATTATAAAGGTCAGAAATGATATTTAAGAACATAAAAATGTAATGTAAGCGTGGATGAATTGTTTTATAAAACACATTAAAGTGAGCAGACATTTCCTCCTTCAACACTCAATCTTTATATTTTGTTGTCTGGATAAAAGTGAAATGTTTGAGCTGCTCTGCTTTAGTGGTTTAACAGTGCTCATTAGTGTTAAAATGAAATAAAAGAAGCAGA